CTCCTAATTAATAGAGATATTGAGTCAGCTAATTTAGAAAAGGATATAAGATGTAGGCTAAATAAATGTTTCAAAAATGAGATTAATGTAGTACCGAGGATTAGTTTAAACTTCCAGTCAGATGACCTTTTACCTGCAACAAAAGGAGAAGAAATAGTGTGATCAGGTTCTGCTTGGATGACATCATATTTTACTTGAGATTTTGTATGATAGAAGAAGTTCAAAATCCTTTTGTATGATAGAAGAAGTTCAAAATCCTATTCTAAACTACCGTTTTTGTGAACAACTAACAAAATAAATTGGCAGAAAAAGGAGGGGGAAGCTGTTGAAAATATTCTTCGAAATGTGGCATTCAAACCTGCAAAATGATGAGATGAAGTTGCCATTTCATGGCAGCAAGGAGGCTGAAATTGACAACAAATGAAGCTGCAATTTGACAGCAAATATGGCAGCAATTTAGCTGCAGATATGATGGAAAGGAAGCTGTCAAATGACAGCAAAAATGTGCAGCAAACAAAGCTGCAAATGTTGATGAAATGAAGCTGCAATGAGCAGCAAATGAAATGCAAAAGCAATGCAAATGCAAATGAAATGTAGGGCCACAAAACTGGTCAGCTAAATGAGAGCAAGCATGCAGCAAAAGGGCTGTGTCTTGTATTAGATGTACTTCATTGTTGCTTTTTTGATGTAGAAAGTTGTTTAGACAAAACAAGAAAACATGAAGTAGAATACTTTTTGAATTGTTTTTTAAGTTGTTTTTTCTTCCATAAAAAGCAGAGATTGTTAATAAGAAAATTTGAGTTGGAGTGTGATACTCCACTCCATTTTCGGTTTTGCTCTTCATCTTCTTCCTGATTTTCTCTCCATTTCTTTGTGAAAAAATTCAACAGAAACAACATTTAGCCTGAAAATTGCCTAACCAACTCTGTCATTGAATTTGTTGGGGTTATGGCATGAAAGCTGAAAATGCAATGAAATGAGATCTGCTAAACGATGATGCAACATGACTGCACAGTCGCAGCAAAGTCATAGCAGTATGGGGCTTTACATGGGCTACAAGAAATGGCAGCAAACTTCAACGTTTTAGTCAATGTTTTACATGGTTAATTATTATTGTATTAGGTGGAAAAATATTATTGTTTTATGCGTAGCCTTCTTCTATAAAAAGGAAGGAAGAAATTGAATGAAAATTGAGAAGGATAAAGCTTGGTTTCTCCTCTCCGGTTGGGTGAATGTCTGCACCCTTCCATGTTTATGGCTTTATGTTCTATGTTATGTTGTATTGCTTCTGCTATAAATAACAGAATATCAATAGAAGAAAATGGGTTCTGACCTCACCAAAAGAGGGAACTCCGAGTGTCTATGCTACTCTCCTCCAAGTTCTCCCTCAAACCCTGTCTTGTTACCCTAAAAAATCTAACATGGTATCAGAGCTGAATTCTTGAGGGACCTGTGAGAGTTTGTTTTTTGAGGGAACACCAAAAAAAAATAAACCCACCTTTCTTATTGTTTTCATATGGTTCTTCACATGAAACCACTCTTTCTTGGCCAAAATTTTGCAGCAAAAAGGCTGTGAAGATGGAGGCATATGTTACTCCCACCATGGGAGATGTCAAGGAAAGGAAAGCTGGATTCAAAGAGGTGTTCATGTTTGTTTCCAAATCAGTCCAAAAGGCAAATCATGGTTGATGGAATGGGAAAC